TTCTTCTAACACAAGTCTGAGTCTGAAGAAGCACAGCACACTGCACAGGCTCTGTAGCACTGGCGAGGATCCTGAATTACTTAGGGTAGATATTATTTAACTCTTAATTTTGCCCCGGGCAGCGCCGTTATGCTACTCTTTTCGATTTCCAACTGCCAAGGGATGTTTTGTCCTCAACAATGCACACGGGCGTCCGGTCTCACTACCCAGAGACCAGGGGGAATTACTAGAAGTCCAAGATTACGTGAAGAAGAAATCCTAGGCCTTACCGGGGACTGAGCCCGGAACCGCTAGCACTTGAGGCGGACACCATGCCTCGAGACCATGCAGCCCTCTGACTTCAGCTTGATAAAATAAGTGAATGATAACTGAATTCTATCAATTTCTTGATATTGTCATTCCAGATTCTTCTTTGCCCTCCTCTTCTTCCACTACCCCGCAGTGTTCCTTAGAGCATAATCTTTGCAATCGAATCATGTCTCACCACTTGCCCGAACCAAGCTAGCTTGTGACGTTTCACTACTGCGAAGAGAGAAATCAACCCCTACTAGACAAGAAAGAAATAACTACGGGATGTTTCTGGGCTAGGTTCATGGGTCCGAGATCCCATGTGGATGGGTCTCAAGATAAAAATTGGTCTGAAACGTGAAACCGTTCTAGCAGACATATTTGGTTTCGCTCATTCGTGACGGTTCATAATAAGTTAGCGGGGGAAATCCGGTAAAAACTGATGCAGGATATTAAATGAGCGGCGCAAACGAAAAATATGAAGAACTGAAATTTGACAAGGCTGGGCGTAATTCTATGCTAAAAAGCGTTCATTGATATGCATTAAAAGATAGAAGATGCTAAGGGGCCGCGTTAGCGCAGTCGATAGGAAACTCGCTTAAAGCTGAGCAGGCATTGAGTGGACCTTCCCGATGGGGAACTGAAACCCGGACCATTGCGCGATAGCCATAGTTTTTGCTCAGTACTGCTGGTGATTTTATGATGATGTGATTCTAGTGTTTATGAGATTGCATTGGTGTTTTGGAAACGTCTTCTTCCTTTTCTACTTCTTTTTCTTATCCTTTTTCTCTTCTATTGTTTCTTATATTTCTTTATATTCTTCTTCTTTTTCTTCCTCTTCTTCTTCTTCTTCTTCTTCTTCTTCTTCTTCTTCTTCTTCTTCTTCTTCTTCTTCTTCTTCTTCTTCTTCTTCTTCTTCTTCTTCTTCTTCTTCTTCTTCTTCGTCTTCTTCTTCTTCTTCTTCTTCTTCAGAAAACTGAAATGTCTAAGTACTCAGTATCCAATCTGGTCAATCCTCATTGAGACAAATGAAAGTCGCATACTCATTAGATCCATTAGACATAGTCAATAATATTTGGACACGTTTGTAGAAGGGATAGAATCGAGAACCTGGTAATATTCTGTTTCTTCTTCGCGTTCACGGGCTGTAAACTCCGGCGGAATGTACTTGATGTTCGTCCACTTCTTGACTCCAGTCCTGTTTCAGAAACTGAGTGTTGCATGTACATCCGTTTTACAGGTCTGACTCATTTGCATGCAGACTATGATTCCTTGCCTCTCATGCAGATGTACTGCGACTTCGAAGGAAGCTCCCAATTAGTCGACTCTTACGACATGCTTGTTTAGCAGGTAGTGGGTCTGTTCTGTTATCTCCCACAATTTGGCCCCAGAACCCACAAAGGGAAACTTGGTAATTAAAAAAAACACATTGAACTGATCCGTGATCCTGGTAATCGTGTAAGATGGCGAAACATGACAGTCTACGCTTGCCGGCATGGTACGTGATGATGGTGATCTCTGTTTGAATCAGTTCTAAGTTGGTACCAGGCAGGGTTGCCAGATGCTCCGTTTTTCCCCAGGATTCCTCCGTGTTCTTCGCCCAAATTGTGTTCCTGTGAAATGTAATAAAGAATCGACATCGCAGCTTTCAGGACATTTCCATAAGCTCTCTGTCCCCATCTTCAGCAGCATGCGCAGAGTTCCATTTCCAGTGCTACCAGCAGCAGTCTGATTGTATATCCGTCTCACCTTCCCTAATGTGTGCTAGTCATCGACCACATTCCCCGGTCACTCCTCGCAGCGCCATCCTATGCAGACCTCGAAGACCCATCTGTGTTTCAGCGCTGTTCACTCGCCCCTCCCCCTCCTTTCCATCTTATCACCTTCCTCCGCCCCCAAAGGCCCTTTGGGGTAAGTTTAGTTATGTTGGTTGTGTACAAGTTATAACCTATTAAAAGTGTTAAATGTATTTTTCTCCAAGTTCTTGTTAACAGTACTTAAGATTGTTCTTTTTGCCCTCTAACTTTTAAATCACATTTTGTAATGTGGGGTGCCAGTCTTGACATATACACAAGGGTGGCGTCCGTCTAAAGTTTATTGGAACCACTGTTCTAGCTGAATTCATCAGCAACAAACTTCACTTCTGCCATATTGGTGACTCATTGCTGAATTCAGCAAAAGGGATTTATTCTTATCGTCTGCTAGTTTATAACCGTATTCAACGTTTAATCTTTAACAGTATCTCCAAAGTTAATGTGTCTCTTGCACCCTGCTATCCCCCACCTGTCAGGGAAATTTAACGGAGTAATCGTGCGGATGTCAAGTGGAGCCCAAACGTTGAATTCCGCGTCTGTAATACATATTCTATAACAGCAGGTCTAACTCAAATGCTAGCTAAACATTTCTGTTCTTCCAAATATAAGAGCTGCGTTAATTGTTGTTCAGTGACTCAGTCTTTCTGTATAATTGAACGGAGTTTTGTTTTTTTCCCGCCCCCTTTTTTTTTTGATTGTTGTTTTTATATTCAAGTCTCTTTGTGTGTGTGCTGTTATCTCTTGTACAATCCACTTTATCCATGTTCCCACAGGTTACATATTAAATTGACGTCTCTTCACTCTAAAGAGGATGATTGTTAGGTGTATGTTTTAAATGTATATTTCCGTTTTTTGTTAATTGTTAAAATGATAATTAGGTAGGCGATTTTTTTTTTCTTTTCTTTTTCTTCTTTTTCTTCTTTTTCTTTCTATCTTTCTTTCTTTCTTTCTTTCTTTTTTTCTTTTTTCCTTCCATGCTCCATCCCTTCCTTTCTTCCTTTTCCTGCTTCTTCTTTGTCTTTCTTCTTCTTCTTCTTCTTCTTCTTCTTCTTCTTCTTCTTCTTCTTCTTCTTCTTCTTCTTCTTCTTCTTCTTCTTCTTCTTCTTCTTCTTCTTCTTCTTCTTCTTCTTCTTCTTCTTCTTCTTTTTCTTCTTTCTTCTTCTTCTTCTTTCTTCTCCTCCTCCTCCTCATTGTCCCCTTTCTCTTCTACTTGTGCCTCCTCCCTCTTTATCTCCCCTCTCATATATATTTATATAAATAAAATGATCTCCGGCAAAACCCGATGTAGAGATGAAGACATGCTCATAACTGACCGGATAAGCTTGATCTGCTTTTTGCCAACCCCCCCCCCCTCCCCCCCCACCACCCCTTCCCCCTTTTGTTCGCCTGTTACAGCACATAAGTGATGTTTAATTAGCACTGTTGTGAATCCCACTCAACGTGCATTATGTTTTAACCCATTTCATATTGGTCACAGTATTTTCAGAAATCTGGTTTCCCTTTTTCTTTGAAACCAATACACTGTTGGTTTTTCCAGTTGGTTATATATATACATACGGGAATCTCCGGTAAAACCTTCTGCTGCTGAAGGAGTTAATGAACAAGTTTATGAAACTGAAAACGACAGTACCATACAACTGCTCCCTGTAATGCACCAGAATACTAAACAAGTGCTACAGACAAACTCTCTACACACAACAGAGAGATCTTAGGTTTGGCCAGTTGCCATTCCACTGAAAACTAAGTGGAAGACATGCGTGGAACCATGGACCTGGAGGCCTGGAGCTTTTTCATTTGACGCTCGTCTTCCAACCTACAAGTCTGTACTTGATTTACGTACATCTTCTGTAGGTATTGTTCAAGGTCCTGTACTTAATTGTCGTACATCATCTTCTCTAGATATTCTTCAGTGACATGTACTAGATTGACGTACAATATTTTATCTAGAAATTCTTCAGTGTCATGTACTTGATTGACGTACAACATCTTCTCTAGAAATTCTTCAGTGTCATGTACTTGATTGACGTACAACATCTTCTCTAGAAATTCTTTAGTGTCATGTACTTGATTGACGTACAACATCTTCTCTAGAAATTCTTTAGTGTCATGTACTTGATTGACGTACAACATCTTCTGTAGGTATTGTTTAAGGTCCTGTACTTAATTGACGTACATCATCTGCTCTAGATATTCTTCAGTGACGTGTACTTGATTGACGTACATCTTCTCTAGAAATTCTTCAAGGTCCTGTACTTGATTGGCGTACAACATCTTCTCTAAATATACTTCTGTGTATAATTCACGCGTATTGTAATTAAGTATTGGTGTTCAGTCGGTATACGAGCCGTCATTAGCAAATGATTTTGTTGCCTATTTCCCCCCGCAGGCAATGACAGCGATGTGCGCTTTCAGAAACTGCATAGAAATAAACAAACGAGAACATCCTTTTCTGCAGCAGGACTGGACGTATTCAGATAAAGAAAATTATTGAAGGCTACGTAATGTATAAGAACGTAATGTTTTAGAAAAGACTGTTGTTACTTCAAATAAGACAAATTACATTAATTCGTGCCAACAAGCGGGTTTCTCTGTGTAATAAACAGATTGTTATATGCTGATGGATACGCATACATAAATGCAGAAGAAAGAAGTAGAAACAGAGGAAATTTATCGGTGTAGTATATGATAATGGAGAAATTCCGATATCGTAAACAAGAACAGTCGAACCCTGATGGGAGAAGTATAGCCCAGATTCATTCGCCGCCGATTTACCGCCATGAAGATTTTCACCACAATGGGTACAACCAGCAGACTCAAGGCTATGGACACACCCAGCAGACTCAGGGCTATGGACACAACCAGCAGACTCAGGGGAAGCAGTTTGTTTCTGGTCAGGGTATGTCTTATGGTCAGCAGTTTCAATATGACCCAAGACAACATCAGCATGGCGGCAGCCAGAAAGAGGGTCAGCAGCAGAAGCTGCTGCTACGAGATCAAGGTAACTCCGATCTAAAACAACAAGAAGACGTTCGGGAGGACAAGATGAGGAAACAACACACCGACTGGAATGGTGTCCTGCAAGATTTGTTTGGAATGGGTAAGTCAGGTTTTCATTTTGTTATTTCAGATAAAGTTTTCTGAACCGATACTTACTTTAACTGAGCTAGGTATAGTGCCATGTTTACATTGCGACAGGTAGTAGATTCAGGTAGAATATGACAATGCGCCATATCTTGCCTACACAGTAATATGTAAGTATGTGAGTTGTACCCCACCCGGACATCACACAAAGGATAAACACTCGGAGACACAAAGTGCCACCATGCGGATGAGGATCACCCGTGGAGAGGTCCCAGAAAACCCGTTCAGCCGTTAGGCCATGTTTATGGCCCGGCTATATTTAGGGCCCCCGGCAAAAGCCAGGGCGGGGCTTCAAGTAAGGAAAAATTGCAATCCCACATGGGAACGACTATAATACTTTCCTACATAGATCAAGAAAGAGCATTTGATCGAGTTCTTGGTGCACTTGTATCCATGCATATGCTTCGTTAATATATATTTCTGTAACCTATGGTGCCATTTCAATGGTTTGAAATGAATTCTGTCCGTATTCTATAGTTGTGGATTTCAAGCTATACGATAGACATGGTCAATAAGTCACCTTCTTTGGGGGTACCTAATTGACCATGTTCTTAGTGCACTTGTATCCATGGCGAGGCACACACGCCGTCTGGAAGTGACAGGTTCAATTCCCGGCACGGTAATTATAGCTTTCGACTTTTATTTTGTCTAGTGTGTTCTTCTATCTTTCTACTTCTTTCTATGAGTGCTAATCAATACACTTTCTGTTACTTAATTAATTTGATCGAGTCAACCGTCAACTATTTTTTTTTGTGGGGGGGGGGGGGGGGAATGGGCATATGAAGTTAGCCAACATTTGGAAAACACATGTAAGTGTAAATATTACCATAGCGAAGATGTAGCGAGAACAAATGCTCGAATGCCAGAAAAGTAAAATTCTCTTTACAATGCGGAATTAGTCAGGGATGTGTTCTCTCTCCCCCCCCCCCCCCCAATCCCCTTTGTCATTTATTGCCCTCATTAGTTGGGGGAGGGATGGTGTCACGCACAAAGATTTAGGGATACAGATTCAGAAACAGATCGAGAGAGAAATAGAGAGAGAGAGAGAGAGAGAGAGAGAGAGAGAGAAGGCGGAGGGTTGGAGGGAGAGAGAGAGAGAGAGGGGGGGGGAGGGAGGGAGGGAGAAAGAGAGAAAGAGAGAGAGAGAGAGAGAGAGAGAGAGAGAGAGAGAGAGAGAGAGAGAGAGCCTATGTTTCTCTATCATCACTTTAGTTTTTATAATCTTGCAATCCTAAAGTGGAGCATTGCTATTCTTGGGGTTTTTCATAGCCAGATGTTAATCTGGGCGTTCAGAGGGCGACTTTAGAGGATCTCGCCACTTTTGTTTGAGTCAAAGAACCTTGGACGTGAGATCGCTACTTTGTTGTTCCAGTTTGGCTGCTATTGTATCTTTTCTGGGACCTGGCCTTTCACAGTTGTTTGCCAGACAGCCCAGACAATTGGCCGTGAAGTTTCCATCTGGCAACATTTTGGGCTACTTTCTTGAATAAATCTGGCGATTAGACGGTGTCCATACGAGGTCGAGGTTAAATTGTAACCTCGTGTTATGCCCCTGTCCGTTGTTTGTCCTACAAAAAGACTTCCTATCTGTCTTTCAAACTGAATTCTTATATCTATCTTACAAACTGCCCTACTTTGTCCCGCGCCTTTCCATCTCTGTCATCCATATTGTTTTCTTATCTCTATTTTGTTCTCTAAATGTTTCCCTTCTTTCTATCCTATCCATGTCTTCTATTAATATCCTACAAAATGGTTCTCTATCTCTGTCCTACAAATTGTCCTCTGTTAATATCCACAAATTGTCCTCCTATCTCTGTCATACAAATTGTCCTCTATTAATATCCTACAAACTGTCCTTATATATCTTTGTCCTACAAATAATCTTCTATCCATGTGCTCCAAATTAACCCTTTACCCTCCGTTTGTCTTCTTATCTCTGCTTTGTCCTCCACATTATCCTCCCATTTATTTACACTAGACTATCGTCCTAACTCTACTTTGTCCTCCACATTATCCTCCCATTTATATGTCCTCCACATTATCCTCCCATTTATATACACAAGACTATCATCATAACTCTGCTTTGTCCTCCACATTATCCCCCATTTATTTACACTAGACTATCGTCCTAACTCTATTTTGTCCTCCACATTATCCTCCCATTTATATGTCCTCCACATTATCCTCCCATTTATATACACAAGACTATCATCCTAACTCTGCTTTCTCCTCCACATTATCCTCCCATTTATTTACACTAGACTATCGTCCTAACTCTATTTTGTCCTCCACATTATCCTCCCATTTATATGTCCTCCACATTATCCTCCCATTTATATACACTAGACTATCATCCTAACTCTGATTTGTCCACCACATTAACCTCCCATTTATATACACCAAACTATCTTCCTAACTCTGATTTGTCCTCCATATTATCCTCCCATTTATATACACCAAACTATCATCCTAACTCTCCTTTGTCCTCCACATTATCCTCCCATTTATATATACAAGACTATCATCCTAACTCTGCTTTGTCCTCCACATTATCCTCCCATTTATATACGCTAGACTATCATCATATCTCTACTTTGTCCTCCACATTATCCTCCCATTTATATACACTAGACTATCATCCTAAGCCTGCTTTGTCCTCCACATTATCCTCCCATTTATATATACAAGACTATCATCCTAACTCTCCTTTGTCCTCCACATTATCCTCCCATTTATATTCACCAAACTATCATCCTAAGCCTGCTCTGTCCTACACTTATCCTCCTATTTATATACACTAGACTATCATCCTAACTCTGCTTTGTCCTCCACATTATCCTCCCATTTATATATACAAGACTATCGTCCTAACTCTACTTTGTCCACCACATTATCCTCCCATTTATTTACACTAGACTATCATCCTAACTCTGATTTGTCCTCCACATTATCCTTCCATTTATATTCATCAAACTATCATCCTAACTCCTCAAAGCACCCTTCTGTCTCTGTCTTCTATACAGTCCTCCAATCTCTATCCTCAAGATTTCCCCTTATCTTCTTTTCCCTATCAAATTATTGCTTTTGCCTTGAAAATTGAACTCCTACCACTACTTTGTCATCCTATCACTACTTTGTCCTTCTACCACTACTTTGTCATTCCATCACTTCTTTGTCCTTCTACCACTACTTTGTCCTTCTGCCACTACTTTGTCATCCTATCACTACTTTGTCCTTCTATCACTACTTTGTCCTACACACTGTCTACTTGTCTCTCTTTTGTCCTCCAAATTGTACAGTTATATCACACTGGTATACATTTTTCAAGTACGGATAAAAATACATACTATAAACGCTGTCTTCTTCTTCTTTCGTTCGCCTGAAATGTTGTCTATATCAGCAATTTTGTCTCTTGTATAAATTTCACTGTCTTTGTTAGTTCATTCAGTGGTTCATAGAGTTTACGTTCCACTGTTGTTCTTTCTAGCCAAAAGTTTTGCCTTAATGTGTCAAATTCGGTGCAGTCCTGGAGTACATGTTCTGCTGTCTGGGGCACCTTTCCACATGTGTACATGAATGATACGCCTTTTTTGAATTTTGTGTACATGTGGTTACGTAATCGGTTGTGCCCTGTTCTGAGGCAGAGGATAATGACTTCTTCTGGTCTGTCCATAATAAAATAGTCGTCTTTTGCTGGGGCTGGTGGTTTCCTGATCGATTTAATTATTCTTTTCTTTTGGTGGAATGTGACTGGTACATCCGGCTGTACTTTTGTCGCACCTTCCCCTGCCAGTTTATCAGCTTTCTCATTTCCAGGCACTCCACAATGAGACGGTATCCACTGCATTACGACTCTTTGCTAAAGGCTGAGTTGTGTCAGCAGTGTTTGCAATTCTGGTAGTTTCCTAGACTGGAGTGCTTCAAGTACGGATTTTGCATCTGTCAGCATTGCCATCTACTGTGAGCCAAGATTGGTATTTAGCAGTTTCTCTGTTGCTATCTTGATAGCCTGAGTTTCTGCATCATAGTTATGGCAGTACTTTCCGGTTGGTACGCTGGACTTATCACTAGTACCATCTGGGAATTCTGTGTACACTCCAGCACCACCATTTCTAACTGCACTTTCTGCAGACCCATCTGTATAGACTCTGACCCAATGTTCTTGTGGGTATTCTTCATCAATATAACTGAGGGTGGCCATTCTGCGTTGTACACTATCTTGATCTTTCTTGTCAAATATCCCTTTCACATTTGTCTAGATTTGTACTGTTAGTTTGCATTTTTCATATAAACGCTGTATTTAATCATTTTAAAGTTGTGGTGGGAGGCGGGAAAAGGGAAAAGGGGGGGGGGGGACTCTTAAGTATTTGAAAGCTATGGTCCACTCTAAATCGGTGGTCTCTCCGCCGCCCCCCCCCCCTTTTGAGTATATGGCACGACTCCCTTCCCACCCCTCCCCTCAACATTAGAAAATGTGAATAAAAAGAGAAGGACAAAAGGACAAATTCCGAGTACTGTTAACGAGAAATTGGACAAAAACACGCACATAATTCAGAGTAACAAATAACACAAGTAACAATAAAAAACAATTGGTAATTTAGTGTCCAAATATCAGTGTGAGGTCAGTTCCACGATAATCTCCCCAGGGAAACTAGGTCATGTTCCATTCAGAAATTTTTTAGACTGGTCTGCTGTCCGAGGGGTTACAGGTTGTCGCTATGTTGTTTCCTTTCTGGCTTTTCTTGCATTTACGTTTTTCTTCCGAGAAAGAGAATGCATGTTACATAGGTTGCAGCACTCTCGGGAGTTGTGGGTAAAACCTAGTTTCTAAATGTTTTTGTGTTGTTAAAAGCGCTGGCCTGCTTAAATATACAACACACGATATCAAAGGCATTGCCGAACACCCCCGTAGCAGTGTGCGAAGGTCGGGTGACTGAAGGTCGACCAGTCAGAAGT